CTGTTAGGGCTTTGGCTTGCAGAGGTAACAGGAGCTGAGTGGGATGACGCCCTGCCCCGAGTGATCCATCTGCCTGACCCAGGAACCGGACTACAGAGACAGCAAAGAGGGCTGGCTCCATTTCCGACATTCCATTGCCAGGCATGTCACCTTGAAGCCAGTTCAACTCCAAGGAGACCCCGCTGCCTGCCCCTGAAGGAGGATAGTCAAAAGTAAAAGGTCATTGTGCTACTAAGCATGGAGCTTGAGATCATTGACACTCATGAACTGAAACAGTCTGAGGAGTTGGCATTACAGCAGCTGGATCTAATCTGTGAGATTATAAGTGACAGGCACATTATGGTGTACAATATGCAGTAGGTGATATGAGTGCAATTACCAGTGAAAATTACGATACCCTGAACTGTATTTTCCACTCTGAAGTTTCAAAATAAATTTTGCAAGTACATAAGGAGGAAGTTGTGGCTTTACATCTAGATAAACCGAAACTGAATCTTAAACGGTCTGAATTCATTTTCAAATGATGGATATGTCATGTTTTTCTCAAATACTCAGATTTCCTCAGTCACAAATGACATTCTGCCCATCTGAGACCAGGGGTCTCTTCTCATCCTTCTCGATTTTTTTGCCACCTTCAACACTGTCGACCACTCTATTCTTCTCTCAGCTCCACCTCCATAGTTCTGGCTTTGCCTGGTTTCACTCTTACCTTTCCCACCATCTCCACTTTGCATCCAGTAACGGCTTCTCCTCCAGCCCTCACACCATCACCTGGCCTCAGGTCTTTGTCCTTGGTCCTCTCCTCTTTCATATTTACACTTGATGATATCATCCACAGACATGGGGTTAACTTCACATGTATGAGGATGATACCCAACTCTATCTCTCTGCCAGTCAACTCCAGGACCACTGCTGTCCTGAAGGATTGTCTGTCAGACATCAAGTCCTGGATGTCAAATGCAATAACAATAATCCTTGCATTTGACTTTTTGGGGGATGGAAGGAATATTACCAGAAAGCAATCCACCAATCTTTTAACAACCAGATTCCTACTTACTGCTAGGTAAACGAAGACCTGGGGAGTAAGGAAACTTGCCTAAGGTTTCTCGCAGTAAACACATCCTGAACTAAGGATTAATTTAGAGTTAGGCACCCTCCTCAAATTGCTTCACAGGAAATTGTTGTTAGTGTAGTGAGTGTGTGTATAAACAAACGTGAAGTGTGCCCAGTAAAGTCCCGCAAACAGCCAATCTGCTCTCAGGTCTCTGGCATTTCAGAGATAACCAAAAGGGGCTGTGTTTAAGATTCTTCCCATGGCTCTATGCCCAAGAGAGACAGCTCAGTGTTGTGTGCTAGACTGCGAGCAAAAGCAAGAGCGCTGTAGTGCCATGAGCTACAGCATGCAATTCATTTTTCTGAACATGTGGGGTAGCCAAGTGAGCCAAGCTGACTAAGTAGATGACACTTTAAACCGGGGGTGGGCCATATCCAGCCTGCCAAATTATTCTATCCAGCCCGTCATTGTGTCTAGCAATAGAAAAAATTATAGTTTGTTCAGTCCCAGAAAGGGTCAGTTTTAAATGCGTCGCTTACATTTCTTACTTTTGTCACAGTATTGATTTTTAATTGCTAAGGTCATTAATTTTTTTCTCCACAAATTTTGCATTTGAATCTGACGGGGAACATCAGCCAATCGCACTGCTTAGTTGTGCGCACGCTCCCTTAAATGTTGAATCAGGCTGACGTCAGAAATGTACCGATCGGCAAATTTTCAAACACGTGTGCGGCAACCGCGGCAGTACTTTTCACTGAAGAGGACGTTAATTCGAAATGAGTTTATCAAAGAAGCGGAAAGTGGACGCTGAAGGCCAAATATTCAACAAAGAATGGACTTCTACATATTTTTGTACCATTGTGGGTGGAAAAGCTGTGTGCTTAATTTGCAAAGAAAGTGTGGGAGTGCTCAAAGACTACAACTTGAATCACAATTTGAGAGCAAACATGCTTGCAAATATAAGAACGTTTCTGGCCAAAGAGAAAGGAAAGAAAGCTGATGAGATGGTTCTTCAAATGCAAAAAGAGCAAAGCATTTCCATAAAACAATTTGTGTCCTAGGATGAGATTACAAGAGTGAGTTACGTGATTGCACACAAAATTGCCAAGAACAGCAAACTATCCTCTGAAGGAGTATTTATAGACCAATGTATGGTTGACTCTGCCTCGATTTTACGCCCAGATAAGAAAAAACAGTTTGAGACCACTAGCTTGCCAAGGCAAACTATTGTGAGATGTATCGGAGATATCTCTGAGAACCGGTTTCTGCAGTACAAAATAAAGTAAGCAATTTTGCATGTTTTTCACTGGCACTCGATGAGAGTTGTGATGTCAAAGACATAGCCCATTTTATTTCTTTTATCGAGTCAGATAAGAAACAGGCAGTTCACCCACTTTCCAAGTTTGCAGCAGATTACTGTTTGTGATCAAAGCCTTAAAAAGTATACTTTGTCACTGCTTGACTTTCATGCCGAATTTTCTCGCCGATTCTAGGATTTCAATTTGATTGAAAATGACCTGTCTTTGGTCTCTTCATCTTTCTCATTTGATGTTGACAATGCCCCATTTGACCTCCAACTCGAGCTTATTGACCTGCAGTGTGATCCATTGCTTGCAGAGCAATTCAAATCAGTGTTGCTTCCCAGTTTTTGTGCCTCTCTTAATGAATATACCTTTCAAAAAATAAAGGCTCATGCCTGGAAGATGCTTTGCTGTTTGGATCAACATACTTATGCGAGGAGACATTTTCTGTGATGACTGATGACCACCTTGCAGCACCACTCCGCATTGCAACAGCGGAGACGATGCCTGACTTCAGTTGTCTGGTTAACGCACATCAGCGCTTTCATTCTTCCCATTGAGTGAGCTTCTCACATTCTCATCAATATGTGAATACATGAATAAGTATCAAATAAATGTCTGCTCAATGAGTTGTTTTTATTTAACCTAATTTTAATGAATGTCAATTATATAGACAACAACAACAACAAGATTCCATTTATAGAGCGCCTTTCACGTCGGGAGGACGTCCCAAGGCGCTGTACAGTTGGGTCAGGACCGAGCATTGGGGGGAAATGATCAGGGTGAGGGGAGGGAAGGGAGGGAGCGAGGAGGGGGTAGAGAGTCGAGAGGGGAGCTGAAGGCACGGTCAAAGAGAAAGGTCTTGAGACCAGCCTTGAAGGAGGAAAAGGAGGAGGCAAGGCGAAAGCACTTGGGGATAGAGTTCCAGAGCCTCGAGGCTGAAGGCCCGGCCACCAATGGTAGGGCGGTTGGGGCGGGGGATGTGGAGCCGACCGGAGCCAGAGGAACTGACGGTACGGGCAGGTAAGTAGGGGGATAGTAGGTCGGAGAGGTAGGAGGGAGCAAGGCCGTGAATGGCCTTGTAGGTGAGGATGAGGATCTTGAATTCGATCCTCTGGGGGATGGGGAGCCAGTGGAGGCGAGCGAGGGTGGGAGTGATGGGGTCCCGAAGCCTGGTGCGGGACAGTACACGAGCTGCAGAGTTCTGAATGACCTGCAGCTTGTGGAGGGAGGTGCCAGGAAGGCCGACGAGGAGAGAGTTCCCATAGTCCAGCCTTGAGGTGATAAAGGTGATAGACTTTATTTTATGCATGTTCAAGTGTAAGATTTGATTTTGAGCGATTATTAAGCATTTGCATCTATGTTAAGTGTGTGGCCCGAGGAGCTTACCAAAACTCGTGAAGTGGCCCGCCAGCCAAAATAATTGCCCATCCCTGCTTTAGAGAGAAAGGCACATGCACCGGCCTCTGTCAAGGTTAATACAACAACAACAACAAGATTGCATTTGTATAGCGCCTTTCACATCGGGAGGACGTCCCAAGGCGCTGGATAGTGTACAGCATTTCAGACCCAAGCTGGGGTCAGGGGAGGAGAGGGAAAGGGGTGTGACCAATGGCATGGTCGAAGAGGAGGGTCTCGAGGCGGGACTTGAAGGAGGCTAAGGAGGGGGCGAGGTGGAGTGATTGGGGGGTGGAGTTTCAGAGGTTTGAGGCAGAATGGCTGAAGGCTCTCCTGCCAAAGGTGGGGCTGGTGATCGGGGCATGTGGAGCAGGCCAGAGCCGGCTGAGCGGAGGCATCGGGCGGGTTGGTAGGGGGTGAGGAGGTCACAGAGATAGGGTGGGGCGAGACCATTGAGGGCTTTGTAGGTGAGGACCAGGATTTTGAACTGGATCCTCTGAAGGATAGGGAGCCAATGGAGTCAGGCGAGATTGGGGGAGATGGGGTCACGGAGTTTGGTGCGGGAGAGGACACGGGCTGCAGAGTTCTGGATTACCTGCAACCTGTGGAGGGAGGAGTTGGGAAAGCCGACCAGCAGGGCTTTTGCATAGTCGAGCCTGGAGGTGATAAAGGCATGAACAAGAGATTCAGCGGCCTGAGGGGTCACTCCCCCCTCCCCACACACGCAGCCACTCCACCCATCCGCCCTCACACACACACAGCCACTCCACCCACCCACCCACCTTCACACACACACACACCACACACACACACACACCTGCCCACCCCTGCCTGTTTAGGTGGATGTTGAAGATTCTATGGCACTATTCAAAATGAGATGGGAGTTTTTCTGGGTATGCAGGCCAACAATTCTCTGGATAAATTATTCAATCTCTTCATGGCTGTTTATGTATCTTGTTATGGTTTGGTTACAAATACACAATCATTAATTACATTTAATAGCAATTTTCTGTATACCGCTTTGAGACAGATGCAAAATCAAATTCAGAGATTGTTGTAATTTATTATTTTTTCCAACCTAGTGGGATTTTAGGGATGTGCACTGAATTTATTTCAGAATTTGTTTACAAATGGATATGGCAAATATGGATTCAAGTGGGAATATTGTGCATTTTTACAGAAGAGGAATAAAAAACGCTGTTTTCCAACATAGAAGTTGATGTTGTACTTTCTTTTAAAACACACAGATGCGCCTGGAGCAGATCCGAATGCAGAGTGGGAAGGCAGCATAAGGTCAATCAAATGGGTGGACCAGGCGAAAAAATATCACAATGGTTGCAAAGGTAAATTCAAACACTACTCTCCTTTCTCTTGTAATTATTTTTGTTTATAGTTTATTAATTAAAGACTTTTAGTGCATTTCCAAACTTGCTCTTTGCAGAAATAAGGTTACAATGAAGAAGCATTGTCAATGCTTCACCATCAGCGTGAGTTCCTGCTCCTGATCTATAGTTGCACATGAAGAATAGTTACTTAAGTGAGGACTGCTGAGCACCCATGTAATTGTCACTTTACATTGTATTCTGTGAAGTGCTTTGAAACGTCTCGTAGACATGATAAGGCACTATATAAAATGCAAGGATTATTATTACTATTACCCCAACCTGTCCTTTCTTTAATTGCCGAGAGAGGCTTCAAATCCCTACTTTTGTACTCTATTCTTCTGGACATAAAGACCTCTATTTGTGACGTTACAGCAGTGGCGATTGTTGTGAACTTACTAAAACTCTTGCTTTGTTTCTTCCAATACTTTTAGGTCACTACGTTCGCAGCATCTGTGTATATGGGTTGGGAGACTTGCAGTGGCTGGCCCAGAAAGACAGCTTATTTGCAAATAAATTTGAAGTGAATAAATACCCCTTGGCAGCACAGTGCATGGAATGGTGGTTAAGGCCAAAGATGCTATCTCAATCCAAAGTACCCCCTCGGGAAGAATGGCACATCAAAAAGAACATTTGTTTCTTTGGTAGTGAAAGGAACGACTGCAGTATCTAGTGCATTTATTTGACATACCACATGTCACAATGTGGCAGCGGAAGGAAATAAGCAAAAAAAAAAATTTTTGTGATTCGATTTCTTAACTGAAATTGTTTTATACTTTTGTGACCAGTTAAATAAAAGATGGTAAGTTGAATGTCAAGCGATCTTTGTGCAGAATCTGAGGAGAGTTAGGCCAAAGAAACTGTTTGCTGGATGTAGATCAAGAAATAGTCCCTGATTGTGTGGCATTCACAAGGTCACAAGATGGGTTCGGATAAAGAAGGCCCTTTGGTCCATTTGGTCTCATCCTTCCAGAATACCAACTCTACCATCTTCCCAATACAATCATCCAGCTCGTCTGTGTTAGGTTTGGCTGACATCCCACCTGAGAAACGATTTGGTTACAAAGTATGCCAAAGCACTTAAAGATTCAAATAGGAAATGGATTGCTGGTTCCTGATTCAACAGGACAAGGAGGTTACGGTTTTGCTGCCAACGCAAGATCAAGATGAAAATGACAAGTGCCAGTCTGAGCAGACTTGACTGCCCTTTTCTGCTTATAATTGGCTCAGTTCAGATGGAAACGCATCATGTGGAGAATTATGATCCATCAGCGAATCTTTGGATCATTCCCTTCTATTACATGTGATGGTTTGAGTCACAATAGGATGGATGAATGACATTTCATGCAGTTGACTCATTCACAAATATTTGTCAACATATTTTACCAGTTTCTCCTTACAAGCATCATTGCATAACAACCACTCAACAAACACTTTCAATGTTACATTTTACAAAAAAGCACCATACTTATCATGACATGAACAATATTTCTAATGTGGAACAAAAGGATTTATGTGGCTAATTGTGGATGTTTGTTTTGATTGCAAATATTTGCCATCTTAAACAACTTTAGATACCAGGGATCAATGATTGTGGAATTGTGTAGAATTGTTGCAAAATAGTTCTAGTTTCTATGCACAAGTGAAAATGCTGTTTAATTATAAAAAAGGGAACAGAATTCCAATCCTAACCCACAGCAGGTAAATAGAGTTCTTTATACAGCTTGTACATCAATGAGTGAAGCAAATGACAGCGGGCAAGTAAAGCAATGGGCATTCCTGCTTGCTAATGGGGTCCACCACATGTCGTATAAAGAGCAGGCATGGTTAAGACATGTCCATATTCCAAAGGCAATATACTTTTAACCTGAAGGAAGTATGTGGAGTTAAAAACAAAGTTATTGATGCCGGAGACAGATTTTGCCGAGTGGAGAAATAATAATTTATTATTGTTTTGTTTTGGAGGGATTATTTTTAATATTATTAATAATATTTGTATTGGATATAGCGCTTTATCACGTCTTCTAGATGTCTCAAAGTGCTTCATAAAATATACTGTAAAAAAAGTTGCATTTGAAATAGGACTTAAAAAGGATTCGTTAATAGTGAGTCCTGCCAGTAACAAGATGTGAGTCACCCCCAACCTTGGGAACACTGCTTCAAATGCCCTGGAAGGAGATCACATTGAAGTGGAGATTCCGTAGATCAGGAGAGGAGATTCCCAGGTAGGAGCAGAGATTCCCCAGGTTGGAGACTCACATCCAACTATTGGCGGGATTGAGTATCTCCAAATCCTGTTGTATACTCTTCATGTTTTGACACTACTGGGACAATATATGTAAAAGAAAATTCAACACATGCACTATAATTATGAACCAAAATGTGGTTATTATTCTACAAGTTGGAATTAAATTTTTGAAAGGAAGTTTAGACACAATATGCATAATTTAAACATTTAAATTCCTACATTGGTAGGAATTGGACTTGTAATGAAATTACTTAAATTTGTTTTACAATAAAGGTTTTTTATTTACACATTGTCTTTGTGTGCACGTGTCTGTTTCAAAACAGCGTTGGGTTTTGAAGAGTGTCTAGTTTAAGGGTTTAGATATAATAATAGTAAGAATCCTTACATTCGACATAGCGCCTTATCATGACTTTGAGACGTCTCAAAGCGCTTCACAGAATCTACTGTAAAGTGAATTGACTGTATATTTTGTGGGCAAAACGCGGCAGCCAATTACGTACAGCATTGTCCCATGAACAGTCATGGATTGAGTGACTAAATTTTTTTAAAGGGATTATTACCTCCAAAAAATCAGTCTGCCAATCGACTAACAACTGGGTTCCTATTTACTACTAGGTAAACAGAGGCATGTGGAGTAAGGAGACTTGTCCAATGTTTTGCCCTCCCAGGGAATCAAAGCCAGGTCCTCTCGCTTGCGAGGCAAGTACTCTAACCACTAAGCTACAGGACTACATAACTTAGTTACTTGGAAATCATTTGAAAAAAGTCTGAGCCTTTTTAGATTTTAGTTTCCTTGTTCCAGTATGAGATAAAACAGTGACGAAACTAATATATCAACAAGAAGTCGTCAAAATGAGGTGTTAAAAACAGCTGAAGAGAAACTTACTTAGAAATAAAGAGGGAGAATTAGAAAAAATTAGACATTTTGAGAATAAGAAAAAGGCTCTTGTGTGAAAAATGTGAAATATACACATTTAGTTCTTATGTTCGGGGAAGAAAATTTTATCCTGGAGTATATCTGTTCCAAATGCAAATAGGTTCAGCCGCTGAACAAAGATACTTATGATCCAGAAAGAATGTACAGCCTGGAAACAGGCCAACTAGTCCACGTAAGTTTATATTCCATCTGGGTCTTTGCTTATGAGAAAACAAAAACAATTGAAAAAATGATGGAAGAGGAAAAGCAGCTTAAAAGCTACTTGTGTATCTATAGAAGAGCAAAGAGCACAGCAGCACGAGGAGGGAACTGATTGAAGTGGCAGAGTGAGAATTCTGTTAAGGAATTTGTTGAGAGTGGGAATTCGGTGCAGAAGGGAAAGAGGTGCACAATTATAAAATATATAATAGTTATATTAAAATAATATAAAATATGTCTAGGAATATGGCAGTGCAGCTGAGACCAGTTGCTTGCACAATGTGTGCTAAGTGGGAACTCCTGGATGCTTTGTGTGCCCCGGTCAAACACGTGCCTCGGCTGCTCGAGCTTGACCTCAAGGTTTCTGAGCTTGAGGAGAGGCTGGTGTTGCTACACAGCATATCGGAGGCTGAAGAGTAAATTGCTCAAATGTTTCAGGAAGTGGTCACTCCACAGCCTATGGTAGGAAGTCGGGACAGGCAATGAAGAAATCCCCTGAGAATGTGGCACTCACAAACTGGTTCTCTGTACTGAATGCCTGGGAGGGTGATGACACCTCTAGGGAGAGGAGTCAAAAGTAAATGGATGCATAGGTGGACACAGGGAACAGTGTCAGTGCAATTGTCATTGGGGACTCACTGGTGGAAGGAGTAGACAGACGTTTTTGCAACCAAAAATGTGTCTCTCGCATGGTATATTGCCTCCCTGGTGCCAGGTTTGAAGACATCATGAAACGGGTGCAAAACATTCTACATGGGGAAGAGGAACATCCAGATTTCATGGTCCATGTTGGGATCCATGACATAAGGGAAAAAGGGCTGAGATCCTACAGGGAGAATATCAGAAGCTGGAGAAAAAGCTAAAGAGTAGGACCTCAAAGGTGGTGATCTCTGGATTATTCCCAGCGCCTCATGTAAGTGAGTATCAAAACAGCAGGATCAAACACATGAATGCGTGGCTGGAGAAATGGTGCAGAAAGGAGGGCTTCAGGTTCTTGGAACATTGGGACCAGTTGATGGGACCTGTACAAGGTGGATGGGTTACACCCGAACAGGGCTAGGACCAATGTTCTTGCAGGGAGGTTAGCTAGTGCTGTGGGGAAAGGTTTAAACTAATTTTGAGTGGGGAAGGGAATCAGGATGTGGCATCAGGGAGGAGAAACAAGTTGCATAGAGGGCTGGGAGAGTCGAATAGTGAGGTAATAAGAAGTAGTCCAGAAAAAGGAGGGATTAGATGGGGGGGAAGAAATGCAGAGCAGACTCAGTCGGTCTTGGAGTGCATGTGAGTAAATGCACGGAGTGTGACAAATAAGCTTGGTGAGCTTCAGGTTCAAGTTGCCACATAGGGTTTTGATGTAATGGCAATAACAGAGACCTGGCTCAAACATGGCCAGGAATGGGAGCTGAATATTCCTGGCTACAATGTATCCAGGAGGGATAGGGAAGGATGGTGGCAATATTAATTAAAGATACAGTTACAACCCTTGTGGAAAGGGACGATGTGCTACAGGGTCCAAAAACAGAATCTATTTGGTTAGAGTTAAGGAGCAGAAAAGGAGCTGTTATTTTGTTAGGTGCATGCTATAGACCAACAAATAGTGGGAAGGAGACAGACGAGCAAATCTCCAAGAAGATTTCAGAAAGATGCAAAACTAGTAGAGTAATGATAATGGTGGACTTCAATTATCCTAACATAGACTGGCAAAATAACAGTGGAAAAGGCAAGGAGGGGGAAAGATTCCTGAAATGTGTGCAGGATAACTTTCTGGATCAGTATGTTTCCAACCCCAACGAGGAAGGAAGCAGTGCTGGATCTAGTTCTGGGGAACAAAGTGGTGCAAGTGGAGCTGGTTTCAGTAGGTGAGCATCTGGACAACATCATTAGGTTTAGAGTACTTATGGAAAGGAACAACGAACAATCAAAGGTGACGATATTCAACTGGAAGAGGACGTATTTCAATGAGTTAAAAAGGGACCTAGCCATGGTGGATTGAAAGAACGATTGGTCAGTAAAACAGCTAACAAGCAAAGAAATGTTGTAGCATGCACGATACCACAATTGACCTAATCGTTGAAAGTTGAATTTCAAGTGTCAGCCTTACCCTATACTCAAACACAGATATGAGGGTACGTGTAAATGTCTCAATCTGTGACAGAAAGACACAAATAAATATTAGAAAAATTTAATTCACATGTTGATCCCGATAGGTACATTTATAATAATAATAATAATCCTTACATTTGATATAGCGCTTTTCACATCTTCCAGACATCTCAAAGCGCTTTACAGAATATACTGCCAATTGCGAACTGCAGTGTCCCACAAACAGTTGTGGATTGAAGTGACCAATTTATTATTGCTTTTCTTTCTTCAGGGATTATTATCAGATGTGTGGAGTAAGGAAACTTTCCCAAGGTTTTGCCCTGCCGGGAATCAAACCCAGGTCTCTCATTTGTGAGGCGAGGGCTCTAACCACTGAGCTATAAGACTCCACATTTGAGCTGTCAACCCTTCCCCTCCCCTCTCCACCCCTGACCCCAACTCGGGTCTGAAATGCTGTACACTTGACGTGAAATGCGCTATACAAATGTAATCTTGTTGTTGTTGTCAACATCTTCACTCCTGCTGATCTGAACTCCTCAACTTCACTCCTCACTCCCCAATCCACCACCCGGCGCCTTCTCTCGATTGGTACTGGCTTCCTGCTCGTCCCTCGCACCCTCCACCCCACCATTGGACACCTTGCTGTCAGCCACTATACCCCAAAGCTCTGGAACACTCTGTCTCAATCCCTCTGCCTTGCCTCTTTCTCCCTTTCAAGTCCCACCTGAAAACCTTTCTCTTTGACTGTGCTTACAGTCACCTTCCCCCACATTCCCCCAACCCCGACTCACCAGAACTCTACGCTGGAAGTTAAAAGAAGTTGTTGATCTAACACCTTCTAAAATGCATTTAGCTAAGTGAAGCACAAAGTAAGGACATAAACCATAATCAAGGGGTTTGTATCTAATTGTGTTAGACAGGAAAGAAGAGAAGACCATCTCAGCAGCAATAATGTTTCCTGAAGCACTGGATATGTAAAATGAATATCCGTTATGCAACCTATACTCATAATTTAACGCTTTAAAACCCTGGTAGCATTTTGGTGCCTGTAGTACAGAGACAGTACAAGATACATCTGCAGATTGCACCAAATTATAGAGACACGGCAGAAAGAATGCCACACACACTGTGATTTTGCTGTCTGTACATGAAAACTGCTGTCCAATACATTTCCTGCATAAACCTTTAGATCAGGGGTGGGCAAAATACGACCCGCGGGCCATATCCAGACCGCCAAATGATTCTATCTGGCCCGCCATTGTGTCTGGCAATAGAAAAAATTATAGTTTGTTCAGTCCCAGAAAGTCCCACAAATTTTGCATTTGAATCTGACCGGGAACATCAGGCAATCACACTGCTTAGTTGTGCGCACGCTCGCTTAAGGGTTGAATCAGGCTGACCTCAGAAATGTACCGATCGGCAAATTTTCAAACACGTGTGCGGCAACCGTGGCTATACTTTTCACTGAAGAGGACGTTCATTCGAAATTAGTTTATCAAAGAAGCGGAAAGTGGACGCTGAAGGCCAAATATTCAACAAAGAATGGACTTCTACATATTTTTGTACCATTGTGGGTGGAAAAGCTGTGTGCTTAATTTGCAAAGAATGTGTGGGAGTGCTCAAAGACTACAACTTGAATCACCATTTTGAGAGCAAACATGCTTGCAAATATAAGAACGTTTCTGCCAAAGAGAAAGGAAAGAAAGCTGATGAGATGGTTGTTCGAATGCAAAAAGAGCAAAGCATTTCCATAAAACAATTTGTGTCCTAGGATGAGATTAAAAGAGTGAGTTATGTGATTGCATTCAAAATCGCCAAGAACAGCAAACTATCCTCTGAAGGAGAATTTATAAAGCAATGTATGCTTGACTCTGCCTTGATTTTACACCCAGATAAGAAAAAGCAGTTTGAGAACATTAGCTTGCCAAGGCAAACTATTGTGAGATGTATCGGAGATATCCCTGAGAACCGGTTTCTGCAGTTACAAAATAAAGTAAGCAATTTTGCCTGTTTTTCACTGGCACTCGATGAGAGTTGTGTTGTCAAAGACACAGCCTAGTTGATAATTTTTATTCGAGGTATCACCAAACATTTTGAGCTCACAGAAGAATTGGCATCAGTGCAGTCAATGAAAGACACGACAACTGGAGAAGACTTTTCGGAGGCGGTGAATAAGCGTATCTTAAAACAGTCGTGGTTTGAAATGACCAACTTGTTATTTTTCTTTGGCCGGATTATCAGCAGGCGTGTGGAGTAAGGAAACTTGCCCAAGGTTTCGTCCTGCCCGGGAACCGAACCCAGGGCGTGGTACGCACCGCCCGCGAATATACCGTCAGCTCACGCCGCAGCGTGTTCCGCGAAGCGCTTCGGGACGTCTCGAAAGACGCGACAAGGAGCCGCCTCAAACGCGCGGCTTATCACCACTGGGTGTGCGTCTCCTCGGGACTTTGCCCCCGAGTTGAGATGCTGTGGCAGTTATTTGCTCGAAGCATCTGCACTGCACAACAAATAAACCCACTGGGGAGGGGGGGGGGCAAAGGGCAGTGCAGTCTTGTTGTGCGTCAGGGATCTCTGCAGTGACATGTGGCACTGGTGCAGATGTGGGGACTTCCCTGTGAGGGACAGAGAGAGAGGAGAGAGAGGAGAGAGAGGAGAGAGGGGTCCGGGATGGGTTTGGTGTATGTGATGGAGAGGTTGACTTGGGGCTCAGTCCGGGTGTGTTCCTGCGGGTCGGGTCGGGTCGGTCCGGGTTCGCTGGCGGTGCACAGGGAAGTAGCAGAAAACCGCTCGAAAACCAGGAAATAAATATGTTCCGTTTCCACACCCACAGCACAGCACAGCCCCCTCCCCCCCCCCACTGTGTGTGGGTGTGTGTGTGTGTGTGTGTAGGGGTGTGTGGGTGTGTGTGTGTAGGGGTGTGTGGGTGTGTGTAGGTGTGTAGGGGTGTGTGTGTGTGTGGGTGTGTGTGTGAGTGTGTAGGTGGGTGTGGGGGGTGTGTGTAGGGGTGTGTGTGAGTGTGTGTGTGTGTGGTGAGTGGGTGTGTGTGTGTGTGTGAGTGTGTGTGAGTGTGTAGGGGTGTGTGTGTGTGAGTGTGTAGGGGTGTGTGTGTGTGAGTGTGTAGGGGTGTGTGTGTGTGAGTGTGTGGGTGTCTGGTGTGTAGGTGTGTGTGTGAGTGTGTGTGGGTGTCTGGTGTGTAGGTGTGTGTGTGTGTGGGTGGGGGTGTGTGTGTGTGGGTGTGTGGTGTGTAGGTGTGTAGGTGTGTGTGTGAGTGTGTGTGTGTGAGTGTGTGTGTGTGTGTGAGTGTGTGTGTGAGTGTGTGTGGTGTGTGTGAGTGTGTGTGTGTGTGTGTGTGTGTGTGTGGTGTGTGAGTGTGAGTGTGTGAGTGTGTGGTGTGAGTGTGAGTGTCAGTGTGTGGGTGTGTTGTGTGTGTGAGTGTGTGGTGTGAGTGTGTGGTGTGTGTGTGTGAGTGTGTGTGTGTGAGTGTGTAGGGGTGTGTGTGTGTGTGTGAGTGTGTGTGTGTGTGTGTGTGTGTGAGTGTGTGTGTGTGAGTGTGTGTGAGTGTGTGAGTGTGTGTGTGTGTGTGAGTGTGTGGTGTGTGTGTGTGTGAGTGTGTGTGTGTGAGTGTGAGTGTGTGAGTGTGAGTGTGTGTGTGTGTGTGTGTGTGTGTGTGAGTGTGTGTGTGAGTGTGTGTGAGTGTGTGGGGTGGGGTTTGCGGGCGGCGATGCTCTGGCCCCCGCGGGCGCCACACACGACACACACGATGCGCTGCGGGTCGGTGTTGGCGGCGGTGGGCGCTCTCGGCTTCCTATCGGTCCTGTGGCTCCATCCCGGGCGGAGGTCCGGCCCGCGCCGGCCCGGCGGCGACCCCCCCCCACCCCCACCCCCCCCCCGCCCTCCGCTGGGAGAGCGTGTGCGAGCCGCTGCTCCGGGGCGAGGGCGGGGGCGCGTTCCGGTGGGACAGAGCCGGTCCCGGGGCTCCGGCGCGCCCGGTGCTCCCCGCAGCCGACTACTGCCGGAGGTTGGCGTCCGACTCGTTCTCCTCGCGGTTCCCCGCCGACCGGGAGGAGACCGACTTCCCTCTGGCGTTCGTCGTGACCGCGCACAAGGACTTCGAGACCCTCGAGTGGCTCTTCAGAGCCATCTACAGACCCCACAACCTCTACTGCTTCCACGTGGACCCCAAGTCGCCCGCGGTCTTCAAGGAGCGGGTCGACACCCTTGAGCGCTGTTACCCCAACGTCTTCCTGGTGTCCAAGAGCGAGCCGGTCATCTACGCCGGCTTCTCGCGGCTTCAGGCGGACATCAACTGCATGAGGGACCTCCTGGCGGCGGACGATCGCTGGAGATACGTCATCAACCTCTGCGGCCAGGATTACCCTCTCAAGACCAACCTGGAGATTGTGCGCCACTTGAAGGCTTTCAAAGGGAAGAATCTCACTCCGGGAATACTGCCTCCGGGTTTCGCCAAGCAGCGGACCGCGTTTGTCTTCAAAAGCGTTTTGTCCCGCAGCCATTCCCGGGTCGTCAAGACTAACAAGCTCAAAGCCCGCCCCCCGCACGGGCTAACCATATATTTTGGCAGCGCGTACTACGCTCTGACGCGAGGATTCGTGAGCTTTCTGTTCGAAGACAGACGAGCCTTGGATTTGTTGGAATGGTCAAAAGATACTTACAGCCCCGACGAACACTACTGGGTGACGTTAAACAGGATACCGGGTTTGTACCGCATCGTACCTAATGTCTTGTAGCGGGTTGTGATGGGCACTAACTTTTGCTTAGATACTGCCCTACTGGGCTGCGCTGAGAAAGGGCAGGCGACCAGGAAATGACATTGAAAATGTTACTTAAGTTTCCTTACTCCGCGCGCCCACTGTTTACCGAGCAGTACATAGGAACCCGCTTGTTAGTCGATTGGGGGATCGCTTTTCAGGGGTGGTAATCTCTTCAATCGGTCACTCGATCCACGACTGTTTGTGGGACACTGCTGCTAGCCATTAGCTGCCGTGTTTCGCCCACAAAGTATACAGTCAATTCACTTTACAGTATATTCTGTGAAGCGCATTGGGATGTCTCCAAGACGTGATAAGGTGCTATATCAAATGCAAGGATTATTATTATTTTCAACACCTTTCACATCGAAGGACATCCCAAGATCCTGGACAGTTAAGAGTGTGGACCCTGGCTGGAGGTTGGAATCAAGAGGATGGAGGATAGGAGCGGGTGGGAGGGGGGCTGAAGGCATGATCAAAGAGGTAGGTTTTGAGATGGACCTTGAAATATGCAATTGAGGGGGCGATGTGGACTATGGTCATTCTCTTTCTTCAAAGAAGCAAGAAAACCAATAATAATCCTTGCATTTGATCCTTCCTTGCCTTATCACGTCGTTGAGATGTCTGAAAGCACTTCACAGAATATACTGTAAAGTGGATTGACTGCATTTTGTGGGTGAAATGGTGAGACAAAAAAGAAAGTAAGGAAATGGCTTGCAAAATGAATACTTTACAGTTATTTTCAGAGATTAAACGAAGTGGTCAAAATACCAGTGGTACAAGGGAACCTAAAATTAAGTCAAAGCAAAGTACTAATTGAATTGAATTAGCAAATGGTAATGGAGAAAATAATGGGACTAAAGGTGGACAAATCTTCAGGACACCATTAAAAGAAGCAGGGAGAAAATTGCAGATGTTCTCTATATTCGGGAATTGTGCCTTTGCTTTGGAAAATGGCAAATGTCACTCTGTTATTTAAGAAGAGAGGGTGTGTGGGGGGGCGGGGGGGGCGGGGGGAATCAGGTTAACTACAGACCTGTCAGCTTAACTTCAGTTATGGGGAAGTTACTGGAATTTCTCGTCAGGGACAGAGAGACTGAGCTCTTGGACAAGTATGAACTAAGAGAGAGAAGAGAACTAACTAACTAAGAGAGTCAGCGTGGATTTGTGAATGGTAGGACATGTCTGATGAATCTAATTGAATTTTTTGAGGTGGCCACTAATGTGAGAGTGTATATGAATGTCATCTATATGGACTTTCAAAAGGTATTTGATAAGCTTCCGTACAAGAGGTTATTAGCAAAAATGAAAGTAATTGATTGGGATGCAGACAGGAGGGATAAAGGGAATGTTTTCTGATTGGCGGGATGTGACGAGCAGTGTTCCCCGGGGGTCTGTGTTGAAATATAGCGACTATCACCTCAGAGTGCCTTCGTATATTTCAAACAGCAATTGAATGTTCCAGAAAGTTTGATAGTTAAATGGTTAAAAGTAGCTTTGCTGGACGGGTTGAGGTCAGTTTCCGATTACATTTCATATTTTCCTTGGAAGATATTCACTCCTCTGAGATAATGAGCAATCAGGTCCTTGAGTACAGTTGTAAGAACAGTGGACCAAAGAAAGAAAAGGCTGCACCTCAGACACCTGCCGATCTCAAGGCTGAGAAACAAGCAGCTTGTGGAAAGCTGCCTAGAAGTTGTCCATATCTCTCTGTGCAGAGTGGCCTGTGAATGATGGGAGCTATCTCTGTGCCAAAGGGTGGTGGAGTTATTAACACATCATAATAATAATAATAATAATAATAATAATAATAATAATAATAATAATAATAAAAGAAAGATGTAACTTTGGAAAAGTTGGAGTTGTGGAGAGGGTCAGGACACTTCCTAGTGGAATCAATATCAATTCTACTATATTTATGTATATGTACAGGGGTGAGGGAATTTACCTCCAGTAACAAAGTGACCATTAAAAGCGGAAGTGGGGGAAGGCAGACCGGGTCATGGCACAGATATGGGAGAGAAAGGACAGAGGACAGAGCCCTGAGGAACACTATTCAAGACTGTGCAGGGGCTAGAAGAGAAACTGTTGGCGGAGACAAATTGCAGATGGTGTGAGAGATAAGACCTGAATCATTCAAGGACAGAACCTTGAAGATTGAGATGAGAGGCAGTGGAGGAGGATGGAGTGGCCCACGGTATCGAAGGTAGCAGAGAGGTCAAACAGCTTCTCCTCTAGCCCCCGGACCGTCTCGTGTGGCGTTCCTCAGGGCTCTGTCCTTGTTCCCCTCCCTCTTGGTGACATCAACAACAACAACAACAACAAGATTCCATTTATTGAGCGCCTTTCACGTCGGGAGGACGTCCCAAGGCGCTGTACAGTTGGGTCAGGACCCGAGCAGAGGGGAAATGGTCAGGTTGAGGGGAGGGAAGGGAGGGAGCGAGGAGGGGGTAGAGAGTCGAGAGGGGAGCTGAAGCCATGGTCAAAGAGACGTGGGGTCAACTTCCACATGTATACGGATGACACCCAATTCTACCTCTCTGCCTCCACCCTTAACTCCAGGATCACTGCTGTCCTGACAGAATGTCTGTCAGACATCAAGTCCTGGATGAGAGCTAATTTTCTTCAGTTGAACATCAACAAGACCGAGGCTCTCCTGATTGGCTCCCGTCAGCGCCTCCTCACCTCAGGCGCTGACAGCATCACCATCCATGGTTGCACACTCCACCTTACTAAGCCAGTCCACAACCTTGGGGTCTTGTTTGACCCTCAACTATCCTGTCTATCCCACATCTGCGCCATGACCCGCTCTGCCTTCCCCCACCTCCGCTGAAACCCTCATACATGCTTTCATAACATTGAGGCTCAACTATGCAAACTCGCTGCTTGTCGGCCTCCCCAACTCCTCCCTCCACAGACTGCAGATCATCCAGAACTCTGTAGCCCGTGTCTTCTCCCTCACTTGGTTCCACGACCCTTTCACCCCCATCCTTGCCCAACTGCATTGGCTTCCCATCACACAGAGGATACAGTTCAAGATCCTAGTCCTCACTTTCAAAGCCCTCCATGGTCTTGCTCCCCTCTACCTCTCGACCTCCTAACCCCCTACCATCCTGTTTGCTCCCTCCGCTCAGTGGGCTCCTGTCTGCTTCACGTCCCCTGCCTGCTCGCCCCACTATTGGCAGGCGGGACTTCCGCCACTCTGCCCCCACCCTCTGGAACTCCATCCCGCAGTCCCTCCATCTCGCTCCCTCCCTCGCCACCTTCAAGACCCACCTCAAGACCCTCCTCTTCAACTGTGCTTTGAATCTCCCTGCTTCCCCCCTTGCCCTCCACCCTCCCCCACCCCCAGCTCGGGTCCGTAACTCTGTCTGTCCAGCGCCTTGGGACGTCCTCCCGACGTGAAAGGCGCTATACAAATGTAATTTTGTTGTTGTTTCTTCTCAAACACTGGCAAGGGTTTAATCCAGCCATTCTTTTCCATTGTTTTGGAGTGTAATAGGTTTGAGTAGCACTTCACGGAAATGCTATACTTTTATGAAATGTTATATTACAAGAACTGAACTAATTCCAGAAATTCCAGACTAATTTGAATGCTGTGTATATTTCCCCCCAGGTGTACCTGGCTCAATGCCCTCAGCAACCTGGGATGGAAACCTTCGTGCTATAAAATGGCAAGGTCTGAAAGCGGGAGAGAAGTGCTATGGTAAATTGATTGTTTCATTTTGAATCTAATACACGCACCACGCTTTATTTATATTGCTGCCTTCACATAGTGCAATTAACTCACATACATATCACTTCATGCCCTGGCATTTACCCTACTTCGCTGGCATATTCCGCAACCCACCCCCTTTGCTTAGCTGGCTCCGACCTCCTGCACATCCCTCGTCCCCTCCGCTCCACAACCAATAGCCATGCTTTCAGTCACTGTGCCAGAGACTCTGGAACTCTCTGCCCCAAGCCCTCATCTTGCCTCCTCCTTGCCCATCTTCGGATTGAACCCAAACTTTTCTCTTCAACTGTGCCTACAGTCACATCCTTTCTCAAAGCGCTATATCAAATGCAAGGAGCCATTTGTTCGGTATCAAGCTCTGCTACTGTTAAGCGCTCTGACATGCTAACCTGCATGAAGGGTTTTGTATATAAATGCAAGTTGTTGTTGCTGCAATGCCTCGGAGAGCTTTACAAGGATGTGGTCAGATGCTGAGCGAGGGGGAAGGGGGAGGTAAGGTAGGTTTTAAGGTAAGACTTGGCAGATGGAGCGGGATGTGGGATGGAAGAGTTGAGGGAAGGAGTTCCAGAGGTTAGGCCACTAATGGTGGCATGAAGATGGTGGGGAACCCACAACAAGCCCAAGTTAGCTGAGCAGAGGGGAGAGTAGAAGGTTGGAATGGTAAGGAAGTGCTAGGGAGTGGAGGGATATATAGGTGAGGATGAGGCCAATGTAATCTAATATTACTGAATTATGTGTATGTCTTGCATTTGAAGCATGTTGCTTGCTCCTTACAATTTTAACCTTCATTTCCGATTGCTGAAGAAAGTTTGATCATTGTACATTGAAGTCTGTTTGGGTCAACTCCCCATATTACCTACTAACATTTTTTTGTTTGGTGGCAAGAGTTTTAAAAAGCCATGATTCTTCAATTTGCTGCAGTATAATCAAGGATGATCATGTGAAGCGCTTTGAGAAGTCTCAATGTGGATGGTGCTGTATCAAATGTAAAGATTATTTTAACTGAGACCTGAACTGTCAGAACAAGCAAACACAACCTCAGTTTAATGTCTCACCAAAAACAGAGCAACACAGAGAAACTCCCAATATAAAGAGCGAGAAAAAATCTCAACCCACGACTGTTTGTGGGTTACTGCTGTGCGTAATTGTCTGCCGCATCCCGTCCTCACTTTACAATATATTCTGTGAAGAGCTTGGAGACTTCTCAACGACATGATAAGGTGCTATATGAAATGCAAGGATTAGTATTATTATAATAAAAGTTGGATGATAATTTTTTCCAGGGCTATGGGGTAAGAGCGGTAGAGAGTGGGACTAGTTGGATAGGTCTTTCAAAGAACCGGTACAGGCTCAATGGGTCGAAGGGCCTTCTTCTGTGCTGTGAGATTCTATGATTCTAAGTTGCTTGTTTCAAAATGATAGAAGTCGGGGAACATATACAGCACCATTTGGGCTATGCCGCCTCTACTTGTGCCTGATCCCCCACCGGAGTTAGCTAATCCCCTTCCCTTTTCTTTGCTTGGTTTGGATACTCTAAACCATGGTGATGGGTTTCCACATGTTTCAGACACTTGGCTGACCAAAAAAAAAAATTTCCCCATACTCCAGTTTTATTTTGTTCCAAATATTTATCTACTTGTTTACAGGTTTTCTCGACCCTCTGTATCTATCCCTCAAGTAAGTGTGACACATTTCCCTCACCCTCAGTTTGTGTCAGCAAAAGGCACAAGAGGTCTGCATGCCAGGCAGTTGTGCACACACAGGCATGTAAGCAATTACACGACTATCTGCTCTTTGAATTCAAAGTACAAAAATACTGTAACTAAATATACCTGCATTTAAATAGTGCACTTCGTACAGGATAGACTCTCAACACTTGAACAATCCACAGATTGAACAATTTCCCCTCTCTGTTAGAAGGCTCTGGATTCATAAGAACATAAGAAATATGAGCAGGAGTAGGCCATTCAACTCCTTTAATAAGATCATGGCTGATCTTCTAACCTAATTCTATTTACCCGCCCTATTCCCATATCCCTTAATCCCTTTAGTTTTTAAAAATCTATCAATATGTTCAAGGACTGAGCATCTACAGACTTCTGGGGTAGAGATTTCGATAAATTCACTACCCTCTTGAGTGAAGAAATGTTTTCTCAACTCAGTTCTAAAGGACTGACCTTTAATCCTGAGACTATGACCCCTAGTTTTAGATTCTCCAACCAGGGGAAACATTCTCACACTATCTACCCTGTCAAGACCCTTAAGAATCTTATAGATTTCAATAAGATCACCTCTAATTCTTCTGTATTCTAGAGAATATAGACCTAGTTTGCTCAACCTCTCCTCGTAGGTCAACCCCCCCCCATCCCAGGAACCAACTTAGTGAACCTATGTTGCAACACCCCTCTAAGGCGAGTATATGCTTTCTTAGATAAGAAGACCGAAACTGCACACGATATTCCAGATGCGGTCTCACCAAACCCCAATACAATTGCAGTAAGACTTCCCTACTCTTGTACTCTAACCCCTTTGCAATAAACGCTAACATGCTATTAACCTTCCTAATTGCTTCCTAATTCAATCCCAACATCAAAACATTAAACTCACAAGCGTAGGCTGACACTAATGCAGTGCTGCCGATGTGCTACATTGTTGGAGTTGCTGTATTTTGGCTGAGACAATGGCAAATTTATGTCTAAAACTTGCAAACTAACTAAAATGATGGACCTCCTTTTTGTCTTGCAGGTCACTATGTGAGAGCTATTTGTATATATGGAACTGGAGATTTGAATTGGTTGGATGCTGAAGATTCCTTGTTTGCCAATAAATTTGAGCTGCATAGATACCCTCCAACCTTAGAATGTCTGGAGTACCGGATTCATAAACAAGCTTTGAATTTGAGCACTCACAGTGACACCAATTGAAGATGACCAGTGATTTACTGAGGATAATAATAATAATCCTTACATTTGATATAGTGCTTTTCACGTCTTCCAGACGTCTCAAAGCGCTTCACAGAATATACTGTAAAGTGAATTGACTGTATATTTGTGGGCGAAACGCGGCAGCAGTGGACTGTTCAGTATTTAATCACTGTACTAACGAATTAAAGGGATGTTTTCCCCCAAAGAATATAGTCAATTCACTTTACAGTATATTCTGTGAAGCGCTTTGAGATGTTTTGAAGATGTGATAAGGCACTATAATCAAATGCAAAGATTATTATTATGTTCTGTTTTTTGCAGTTCTGCTCAGCGTAGGTGAATTGTCGATACAGGTGTATTTTTTTTTAAAAAGGGCTTTGAAAATCTTCTCAAGCCATATTTTATTTTTCTGAAAGGAATTCTGAACACTCTGAATAGTATGTTGTGTAGGTTTTACAACTATTGGAGACTTGTTTTAAACAATCAGCTTGCATTCAATTTATAATGCATTAAAAATAATGCAGAAACTATAGGGATCAATGATGTATACAAAATGTAGATTAAATTATGGTGCTTTGGAATTTTCCTACAGAAATAGGATTTGTACATATCAGCATTCAAATACTTGTGATTTTAATATGTGTAATAATTCATTTTAATTCTGTAAATCTTGTTAACTTTCTATGTTGTGGCCACATTATTGACATCATAGATCATACCTGCTAGGAGTAATTTTATCAAAATGTATTTATATAGAATAAAGAATGATTTTGGGGAAGATTTGAGTGTACATTTTTGTTTTCTTTGAAAGAAATGTACAAACATCCATGAACTAATCAGGGTGGTCCAACTGGCAGCCCAATTTCATCCATCCACTTCATTTAATTTGGCCCACTCACTCCTTCCATAACCTGTATATGCTATGTTATGTTTCTGGAAGGAAAACACAAAAATATTGCTTATGCAGCCCATGGACATTTCTCAAATAGGGGATCCGGCCCTCAGCAGCCATTAGCTCGGTCCACCCTCGTCTAAATGATGAATTTTATCCGAGGAATGTTGGCCAGGATACCAGGAGAAACTCTCCTCTTTTCCACATCCACCTAAACAGGCAGACGGAACTTCAGGTTAACATTTGATATGAAAGACAATGATCCAACAAGAGCTCTAATAATAATAAATAATAAGAGCATTATCACGTCTTCGCGATGTTTCAAAGCACTTCACAGAATATACTGTAAAGTTAACTGACTTTATTAAATTTAAAATTTTGAATTACTAAACTTTAATTTGGGGCTTCAACCCACAACCTCCTGACTCAGTAATCAAATGCTCACTGACATTTTACTGGTGCCTGAGGATAGACTACCTGCCTGGTGGGTTGTAACCCCTGATCCTTCTCCCTGATCCCAACCCACCCCCACCCCTGCTCGGGTCCAAATTCCTGACTGTCCAGCACCTTGGGACATCCTCCCGATCTGAAAGGCGCTATACAAATGTGATATTGTACATTGTATTGGTATTCTGCGGCTTCTTTGTTTAATTCATCCCAATCTGTAACTTTCCTCAAACAATGGCTGGTAGCTGCTATACCTCCCCGCTAAATTCCCAGCTTTGCTCGTAACTTGTTTATTTCAGCTTTGCACTCCTTGTGTGAGTTGGCAGAACCCTGGGTCATCTGCCTAGAGATAGCTATATGCTGCTTTGACGTCGTCCAGTTTTTTGTCTACCAGACCTTTTTTCCTTGACACGGCTTCCACTTGTTTTCGAAATGTATCACACTCCTGCTTCATTTCATGTAACTAGTGTACATCCTCACACTGGACTGTCTGGCTGCATGTTCGACTTCAAATAGCTGTTCCTATATATTCCGATTTGCATTGTTTAACTCATTAAGTGCTTTCTCACATTTTACTTCATGCTACCGAGCGTTTTGGTCGCATTTCTGGTCACATTATCCACAGGGACTGGATAATTAATCCATTTTTCTTTTTCTTATTTAACTTGTTCCTGCCATTAATTCTTTGTATTCAGCCGTACAGTATTCCCATGGCTTGGGCTGGCTAATGCTCCTTTAAACATCCCATTCTCCTTTGCCTTACACACAATCTCTTCAATGAGATCTTTTGAATTTTAGTCGCATAAAATTGGTTAATACTTGACAATCTGCTGTCCCGTTCAATTTCAACCTCTTTAAAAAAAATTAAACTTGAGGTCCCTTCTGGGGAGCCAATCCAGCTGTGCACCTCTGACCTCTCTGTACTACATTTGGTGGTCATGCTTCAGCCACATTGCCCCCTAGTCATTGGATCTCCCTCTCTCAATCCCAATTATTTAAATAAACCATGGCTTTACTTGCATTGCGGCTGTTTAATTTGTGGGGAGGAAGGAGACATTTTGGAATGGAAACCGTCGTCTTGTTCCAGTTGCTGTGATATCAGTAGACACTACTTGGTGCCTGATAATTGATAAGTGCTGACTTATATGGAACAAGAACTGGTCAATAGGGACAGTGCTCTTCCCTTGGAGCAAGGGCTGTATAGATATGGGGGAAGAATGTGTGTCTGTGCTGCTCTGACCTATTTGAAGCTATTTGTGGAGTCCTGTAGCTTAGTGGGTAAAGCACTCGCTTTGCAAACGAGAGACTTGGATTCAATTCCCGGCAGGGTGAAACCTTGGACAAGTTTCCTTACACCACACCCTGATAATAATCCTCAAAAAAAAACAATAATAAATTGGTCACTTCAATCAACGACTGTTTGTGGGACCTGCTGTGTGCAATTGGCTGCCACATTTTCACCCACAAATATACAATCAATTCACTTCATAGTCTATTCTGTGAAGCGATTTGAGATGTCCAAAAGATGTCAAAAGCGCTATATCAAATGCAAGGATTATTATTATTATTGTTATATATTGCAATGAAGGTGAAAATAAATTTTATAAACCAGAAGTGGCCATAACTAACCAGCAATGATTTCACAAACTTGGGCTGTTTAGTCTTGAAAAAAGATCCCTCAGCAATGGACCTAATAGAGATTCTTTTTTTAACTGTGATTGGGGAAGTAAAGTCAGAACCAAACTTTCAAATGTACAGGAAACCTGTTGTTTCCTGTGCATCTGAATAGAATCAAATGATACAAAAGAGGTCACAGAGTTGGGACTTCAAAATCCAAGTTTTCAGGATAAACAACCAGAAGCATTGCTTTATCCAGAGGGGAATTAACAACCAACAATATAATTACACACAACTTGGATTTGTATAGGGCCTCTCGCGAACGTTATAGTCTCAGAGCCTTTGATAGTGTGCTTTCAGCTACTGTGAAAACTCTGGAACACTCTCCCACTATCCCGCTGCCTTGCCCCTTCCTTCCCCATCCTCAGGTGGCGCCTGAAGACCTTCCAATTCGACCGCACCTACGGTCACCTCCCCTTCCCCCCCCCACCCCGGCTCGGTGTCGTACTCTGCCAGGGCTCTGGGACCCTACCCCTGTGAGGGGAGTAGGGTGGTGGGGGGGAAGGGGGGGCTATATAAATGCAAGTTGTTGTCATATCAAATTATTATTATTATTTTACCCAGGAGAGATGGGGAGTTTGTCAGTGTGGGTGTGGTGATGTGTGTGTGTATGTGCGATGGGGAAGACCTCCAGTCACTGTGGGGTGGGGTGGTGGGTGGTGGTAGGTGGGATGGGGTGGGGTAGGGTGGGGAGTGGTGGTGGGTGGGGTGGGGGGTGGTGATGGGTGGGATGGGGTGGGGGGTGGTGGTGGGTGGGGTGGGGTAGGGTGGGGGGTGGTGGTGGTGGGGTGGGGTGGGGGGGGGGTGGTGGTGGGGTAGGGTGGTGGGGTGGAGTGGGGTGGGGTAGGGTGGGTGGTGGTGGGGTAGGGTGGTGGAGTGGGGTGGGGTAGGGTGGTGGTGGGGGTGGTGGTGGGTGGTGTGGGGTTGGGTGGGTGGTGTGGGGTGGTGGTGGTGTGCGGTGGTATATGGTGGTGGTGTGGGTGTGGTGGGGTGGTGGTGTGGGTGTGGTGGGTGTGGGGTGGGTGGTGGTGTGGGGTGGGGTTGTGGGTGGTGTGGGGTGTGGGTTGGGGGTGGTGTGGGTGGGGAGTGGGGGTGGTGTGGGTGTGGGTGGGGTGTGGGTGGGGGGTGGGGTTGGTGTGGTGGTGGTGTGTGGTGTGGGTGGGGTGTGGGTGGTGGGGTGGGGTATGGGGTGGTGTGGGTGTGGAGTGGGGGTGGTGTGGTGGTGGTGTGGGGTGTGGGTGGTGTGGGTGGGGTGTGGGTGGTGGGGTGGGGTATGGGGTGGTGTGGGTGGGGGTGTGGTGTGGTGGGGTGGGGTATGGGGTGGTGTGGGTGGGGTGTGGGTGGTGTGGGTGGGGGTGGTGGTGGTGTGGGTGGGGGGTGGTGGTGGTGGTGTGGGTGGGGGTGGTGTGGTGTGGGTGGTGTGGGTGGTGTGGGTGGGGGGTGGGGGTGGTGGTGGTGGGGTATGGGGTGGTGTGGGTGGTGTGTGGGGTGTGGGTGGCGGGTGGTGGTGGTGGGGTATGGGTGGAGTGGGGTGGGGTAGGGTGGTGGTGGGGGGTGGTGGTGGGTGGTGTGGGGTTGGGTGGGGTGGGGTTGTTTCCGAATAAGTTTTTACTATGTTCCTGTTGCGCTGTCACTTATGTGTCACAAACAGATCTTTCATTTCTTTGGCCCCAATGACTCAGTTTTGCCTTGAAACCAGCTGTATATGTTCCAAAATAGGTCTGTGAAGGTCACAGATACACTGTGCAACTGAAGACTGGAGTAAAAACAAGTTGTGTTCAATGTTGACTTAGGGACTGTGATTTGAGTCTGAGAAACACAAATAAATTGATTGTATTATACATTTTCCAAGTAACCATGAATCAGGCTGCCAGTAAATTAATTTTGTACAATTCATCTGGTGGAGAACTCAAGTTGCTCACATGTAGTATGAACATTGACTATTATTCAGAGTTCTTTTCCTGTGTAGCCTACAATATCTCTTTGCCAAGATCAGTGACGTAAATTAAATCAACAAACCCATTGAATGAATCCTGTGAGAGGACTGCCAAAAATATTGAATTGTGATCAGGGCTTAAAGACAATCGTAGTGAAAATAATGTATATGGGATAATGGTAACGATGGGATTTACAAGTAAAACGTATTGGTAAATTTCATAACATGTTCCCTACTGTGACAGGAGAGCAGAGGTCAATTCACTTTACATTATATTTTGTGAAGTGCTTTAAGACATCTTGAAGACATGATAAGGCACTATATCAAATGCAAGGATTTTTTTTGTTGCATTCATTGCAACATCCAGTTTAAGAAATTCAATGTAGTGTGGGTGCGTACTTCTTTGTCAGAGGAGCCATCCTTCGGATGTAACATAAAACCAAGGTCCCATCTGCCTCAACAGGTGTGCTTTTTAAGATCCCATGACACTATTTGAAAAGAGAAGGGGGCTTCTCATGGTGTCCTGATGAACAATCCCCCCGATAAAAAAAAGGCATTCACTTCATGGCTGTTTGCTCTGTAATTGGCAGCTGCCATGATCTACAAATACACAGTCATTAACTTTACAGAATAATTCTTTGAAATATTTTGATAAAAGGTAGTATATCAATTGTATAAATGTTTCCATTATAATTTTACAGTTGTAATTATATAGCGTGACTGGGAACTGGAGCTGGAGGGACTAGGGGAAGTGGGGGAGGAGTGGGGTGTCAGGGCAGGGGGTAGGGGGGGAAGATGGCTGAAACCATGGTTGAAAAGATAGGTTTTCAGGTGGGTTTTGAGGGAGGGAGCAAAGCAGAGGGATTCCAGAATGAAGCTCCAGAGTGAAGGCAGAATGGTTGAAAGTTCGGCCACCAATTGTGGAGCGGATCAGACAGGTTGGTGTTTATTGATTGGAGGAAGTTGTCAGGGTAGGAGAGTCCTGAGGTAGGGTGGGTAAGGCAAAGGAGATATTTGAAAGTAAAGATGAGGTTGTTGAATTCGATCCGCTGGGGAATGGGGAGCCAGTGGAGCCGAGCGAGAATCGGGATGATGGACTCTCAGAACCTGGTACAGCAGAGGACCTACGCTGGTTAGTCTGCATCTTGTGTAGAGAGGAGATGAGTGGTCTGATGAGAAGAACATTAGAATAATTATGCCTGGACAGGGCTTCGGCAGCCCTTGTGGGTGAGGTAGTGGCATATATAGGCAATGTTGCAGGTATGAGGGAAAACCAAGCAGATAACAGCCCCAACGTAGGAATTGAAAATAATTAGAGATCAAATAAAACTCAGTGGACAAGACTTGATAGGTTCCACTTCTGCAAAGGGGAAGGAGCCTCCACATGCCAGTGCCTGAGGTAGAAGGTAGCTGACGGGAGCAAAGGAGAGTCTTGGTCTTCTTGATTTTGAGCTATAGAAAGGTTAAAACTCATCCAGAACTTGATATCTGACAGGCATTAGTCAGAACAGCATTGGCCCTGGAAACAGGGGAAGTGACTTAGCACAGTCAAAAAGGAAGGTTTTCAGGCGGGACTTGAAAAAGGGAAGAGGGCAAGGCAGAAGTATTGAGGGAGAATGTTCCACAGTTTTGGGACGTAGTGGCTGAAAGCGCAACCTCCAATGGTGGAGCGGAAGGTGTGAGGTACAAATAGGAGGCTGGTGCCAGTTGAGAGGAGGCGACGGGTGGTGGATTGCGGAGTGGGGAGGTCGAAGAGGTAGGGAGCTGCCAGGGAATGAATGGATTTGAACACGAGACGATATTGAAGTCGATGGTGATGGGGAGCCTGGCCAGAACTGGTGAGATAGGGTACCGAGTTTGGTCCAGGTAAGTATCAACCGGCATTTTTTGAATAGTGGAGCTGGGGAGACCAGCAAGGAGCGCATTTGAGTAATCCAGGCAGGAGGTGACAAACACACGCATGAGGGTTTTGGCTTCATTTGGGGTAAGGTCGGAGGCAGAGGGAGTTGGGGTTGGGTGTTATCCATGTAGACCCCATCCCTATGAATGATGTTATCAATGGTGAAATGGAGACCTCAATGTGGGGTATCAAGTCCCAATTGGAGCTTGAACCGACAACCTTCCTACTCATTGGTGAGAGTGCTACCAACTGAAACAGGTACATGCACATAATTCAATAAGTCTGAATCACAACACTGTCTTTTAAATAAATTGCATCTGAACATCAAGGATGAGATATTTTACTTATAGCTAACTTATATGTTTGTCATCAAAGTTGCTACCCTAAGTGATAAAAGGAATTTCACTCTGCAAAATAGTTCTTAATATGTTCAGAAACTGGAAAACATTATGAATAGATCCGTTGCAGTCAATGAATTCATGAGGAAATAACTTTGGCAAATCTTATTTGCCTTCAGGAGGTAGAATAGCCATGTTTCATACTCATCACAATGGAGTTACATATCAGTGCCATAACAGAGCTTTTTGATTCTATTTGCATCATGAAAGAAGGGGGATAAACCTTAGCTGTAAACTTTTTTTTATTAAAGTTTAATAGTCGTGTAGATTATTTGTTATTGAGGTTCTAGGTAGAAAGGGTAAATCCCGTATAAGTGTAGCTAACTGCCTCAACCATTTGGTTATTCTACGTCCTTCCTTCCATTTAATGGAACGCCTTTCCTTTTTTTGGGTCATCTATACACTAAAGATGCAAACCATAATTATTTTGTGGGCGAAACCTGGTAGCCAATTGCGCCCAGCAATGTCCACAAACAGTTGTGGATTGAGTGCCCAGATTATCCTTATTATATCTTCACAAAAAAAGGTGTTTGGTCAACGTTTTAGCCCAATCTGCTTGTCAGCCCGCGGTTGTTGAAATAGTGTTAAAATGCAGCATTTTTATCACTGGAACATAGCAAAACGAAGCACAGCTCTTTCAGCTCTTCGCGCTACCCATATAAAGGGCAAACTTTTCCAAATCCTTCTCTCCTCTGAGGACTGATGTCTTTTAAGAGTGTTGCTTTGGTCCAGTTAATGCGAACTAACTTCGTATGTCCACAACCTCTTAGAAATAACATGATACACCTCTCTCGGGCTATATCTGATCTGTGCCGTTTAGGGGGATAGGGCGGAGAAAAGCTTCCCCCATTACAGGGAGTACTGTGACTAAGCTGAAGAGGGCAGGGGGGGTGGGGGGGTGTGTGGGGGTTGAGGTGGGGGTATGGGGTGGGGGAGAGGTGGGGGTGTGGGGAGTGTGGGGGGGGGTGTGGGAGTGTGGGTGTGGGTGGGGGTGGGGTGTAGGGTGGGGGTGTGGGTGGACACACACAGAGACCACAGAGGAGTGAGCTCCAGCCTCTCGTGGGATCCATTCCCTGTGTGTGAGTGTGTGAGTGTGAGTGTGTGTGTGTGTGTGGGGGGGGGGGGGCGGTGTTGTTGGGGGGGGGGGGGGGATCTACCTTGGGTCTTCGCTCCAGACTCTCCCTGGGGCCACCCTTGGGATTTGTGGCAGTCCCTCTGGAAGTGCCGCATCCCATCCTGACAGCGCTGGGAGCCTCC